ATTGGTTGTGTCCGAGGAGTAGGCAAAATTAGCCGAACCTCGTAAATTCTGGTGTTCCCTTTTATTGTTGTTTTATTGTCTTATTTATTATTTGGTGGCTGTCATAATTTTTGGTATAGTAGTTGTGACTTATTCACACTATATACATTTGGCTTCCGCAACACTAGCTGACTATGTTGATAACTGCTACATGAAGGAGACATATTTGATGACATATTCTCACTTCCTTCAATCACTCAATAGTATGAAAATGTGGTCTGCATCTACTAATGCTCTTATTGCACCACCAATGATGAAAAGTGTGCCTGACAGGCCTAAAAAAGTTAGGAGAAAAGATGCAACTGAAACAAAAAAATCTAAAAAGTTATCTAAAACTGAAATTGTCATGAGGTGTAGCATTTGCAAGGGTAGTGGTCACAACAAGATGGGATATCATAAGAGTGTTAGAGATCCATCAGGTTCAGAAACTACTGTAGCACCATCAACTGTAACTTCTGGTGCTGCAGAAGCATCAAGTTCAGGAAGAAATAGAGGCAGACCAAAGGTAATATAGTATATCTAACTGTATGCACTTTTTTTTTAAAATTCAAACACTATATCTAACTGTTTATTATCTGTTAGACACCAATAAATGTAGAAGTTAAAGCTCTTGGAAAAAGAGGAAGAGGAAGACCAAGAAAATCAACATCTACTGCACCTAATGCCTCTACTGCTGCTGAATTATTTACAAGTACTGTAACTTCTGCCGCTGAATTTTTATTAACTGCACCTATTGCAGCAGCTAGTATAGGAAAGGGAAGAGGCAAATCAAACAATACAACTCTCGTATTACCTAATGCAACATTTGCTGGTAGTAGATGTAGGGGAAAAGGAGGATCTAGGCATGCAACAGCTGCAGCTAGTAGAGGTAGGGGAAGAGGAGGATCTTGAAATGCAACTCCATCAACACCTAATGCAACATCTACTGCTCATTATTCACTTTCCAGTTGGTTTAAATGTTCTGTACCTAGTACATATGAAGCTCCTAATGCATCTGTTGCACCTAATGCCTCAACTACTACACTAAATAGAGGAGGGGAATGATGTGGAAAATACAAAAAAATGTAAAAGGCTAAGAGTGATGGGATGAGTGTGTTTCAAGCTGAAAATGGCTTCAAAACTTTGAATGTAACTGTATATGTATATTTTTATATTTAATATGTTTTATATATTTATGATAACTTATTGAGTTATTCTTTCTCTGTAGCCTAGCATGCCAAGTAGCAGAATAATATCCATACCAAGTACCAAAATAGTATCCATTGGTCCAACAACGGTGACAAGATCAGCTATTATAATTGATGACATTTGTTTCAAACCAAGTAGTGGACTGAAATGGAAGGGGAAACCAACAATCACAATAAGAAGGCTTCAAGAGATTAGAGGGCATCATAGAATTCAAACAAGGACTGGTGGTTCAAACAACCTAAGCCAGAATAGCAGTTCTTCACATCCCCAGTAGAATTGGTTGTTTTTGTTGACTACATGCTGCAAGCAAATAATTTTGATGTTTTTGGTTGACTACAAGCAAGCAATATTTATCCTAAGCCAGGGATTTGGTTGTTTTTGTTGTCTGCAGTCTGTAGTTTTTATCCTTTTAGAATGATAATGTATTAGCTTTCAAATGTTGCCTTAGTACATTTGATGTTTTATTGACTGAATTTGGTGGTATTTATGAAATGCTGCAGCTTTATTTCTAAGAAATTCAGTGGTGACTTGCATTGCCATTTACACAAAATCTCAATGTGACTTATACATAGTAGTTGAAAGAATCTGGGAATCGATCATACCAAGTGAGCGACTCATACATAATTAACTTTCACATAGCATATACCAAAATAAAGTTACATACCACAATGACAATAAAACAGAGTTATTACAGCCTTAATCGAACACTTCTAAATAATTGCTATAACACAAACAACTGCTATTGCATCTCCATTTGATCACTCTCCAAGTTTCCAACATTGATTAGGCTGTTGATACACATAATATCAAACACAAATCACAATACACAAAATAAACTTCAGATTCAACCAACACCAAGTCCTTTTCTTTTTCAGACTTTCAAGGTCAACCAACTATATCTTGAGGCTGTTATAACGTACCAAATCTTCTTCCATCTCTTTTAATTTTGTTAAAAAATCTTGGAAGAATAAACTTCGATCTTTTGTCAACTTCATTGTCCCTCTATTGAAAAAATTTGCAACTCATGGCTTGAAAATTTCATAAATTTGAATCAATTTAATGACAAAACACAAGTTAATCAACCACAATAGATGGGCTAGAAATGAACACATACACCATAGTAGGGGCAAGACCAAAATCCTTGGCCAGGATTACACTTCGACCAAGAAGTCTGCATTTATAACAAAATTTCATGTTTGCATCGCACTTCAACAGTGAGCATTGGGTCTTTATCGTTTATACGAAGTCTATTCAAGTTGGTATTTGCCATTTCATAACCCTAATTTCTAATATATAAAAATTGGGAAAGAAATTTCAAACTCTAAAATAAAGGTTATAAACTCGAATTGACTAAAGATTAGTAATTTATAGGCTATAGATTATAACTCACCTCTTCAACTTCAGCACCACCTGCAGGGGCGGAGCCACACTTAAGTTAGGGTGGTCAATTGACCATCCTTTGTCGGAAAATTACACTGCATATATAAGTAAAATATTAAATTTTAAAAGTACATAATATATATTGAACACCCTTTATCAGATTTTTTTTTACTTATTTCAAGTTTGAGAATTTTTTTGGCTTCGCAACTAACCACAAGTAGAAGCTCTTCGACAATGGCAGATAGTTTATAAAGTTTAGGAGGAGTGATAAAAGAATGTGTTCAAATAAAAGAGTTGAGTTTAACGTTTCAGACCTTTTCTTAACGTTTCTTTGGCATAATATAATGTGTTCAATTATATAGCATACCGGCCTTTTAAATTTAGTCTTTATGCGCTTGGAAGAGGTGTAGTCACGCACGAGTTTAATTGAGCATATAATGTTAAATAAATTTTGAAAAAATTAAGTCCACGAGTATAATATGACCCACGAAAAGAAAAGATATATAATTAATAATATGGTTGCGGAGGATATTATGCATTATTTCATTAATTTACTTGCACTCTTTCCTATTTCTTCTAAAGTCGGGCGAGGCATGAGAGAATGTAAAGCACACAATAACAACACGACAAACGCTTTTCCCCATGCAGCTCGAGCTACATTTGTAGACAAAGATAGAACATATGGTATTTATACACATTTAGAGAGAGAAAGCCATTAAGAATATTTCCAAGTATTACGAAACACAAGTTGACGCTACGATTTTTACGTTTTTTTGCTGAAATTTGGGCAATCCACTTGTCATTCCTTTGTTGATTCCTATCTCTATCTCTCATTTCTTGTTGTTTTTTTTCTCCCCCAGCTTCCATTTTCCTTTGGTCTTTACCCTTCCCTCTCATTCACCCCCACCTCTTCTCACGCCACACCCACAAAACAAAACAAAAAAATTATAACAAGGAAAAATTCCTTGTTTTTTCCCCTTTGATCTAATGATTCATTCATTCATACATACAAAAATTACAAACATATACACGACGAAAATTGTTATTAAGTCATATAGAAATTAAAACAGAATACGCGCGCAGTTTTGTATGTTAGAGATATTATAATATGGTGAAGATAATGGATCTGAGGAGAAATGGGTATTTGATACTTTTTTTGGTTTTGTTGGGTGGTGATTATGAGGTAAGTGTGAAGGGGGAGAATAATGTGGTTTTCAGTGTGGAGCATAAATTTGGTGGGCGTGGAAGGTCTGTTTTGAAGGACCTTAAAGACCACGATGTCCATCGTCACGGCAGAATGCTCGCCGCCGCCGACTTCCTATTGGGTGGCAACGGCAGTCCCACCGGTGCAGCGTAAGTGCCTCCTCATTCCTACATATTTTCTCATATTTAAAAAAAAAAAAAAAGAGAAACTTTTGAACTTGTGTGGCTGTAGAATGATGCACATACATTTTGTGTGGCTATAAATTATTGTAGGAATGTAAACTATTTTTAAATATAGAATGAAATCATTATTATGTTAATTTGAATTATGTACTATCTCCGTTCGGTCTGAAGAAGATAGTCAAGGACTCCCTTTTACTATTCCTTAATGGTAGAAATAATTTTTTTGTTTTATTTGTCCATTTTAGCACATAAAAACAGATATAATATTTCTTCCAATATTACCCTTAATAGTACCCACACTCCCCAAATTTATTGGAGCTACAATTTAAAAACCATTGACAAGGGTAGTTTGGTAAAATAAACCCTTAATAAGTGATTTTTTAAGGGGCATACCAAGTGAATAGAAGACTAGAAGGGAATATACATGTTTACTGAAGTTACTGTAGTTGTTTTCAAATACTTGTCATTTTAGAAAATCAAGAATTAAAAACTAATTCCAACTTTACCCTTAATATTGGTTGTTCTAGAATTAAGACACATTAAATGAAGTTTTCTTATTTATTGGAAATAGATTAATGCTATTCCCTTTGGTCCAAAATAAATGATTTTTTAGCTGTTTTCACACAAATTAAGAAATCCATCTTTTAATATTAATTAGCAATGAAATTGACCATATTAACCTTTACTATCTCTTCACATAAATACTCCTAACACATATTCCAACACTATTTATTCCAAGGGCAATGTAGGAAAAAAATATTTAATTCATTCTTGAAATCTGGAAAAATCACTTATTTTGGACCACCAAAAAAAGGCTAAAAAATCACTTATTTTGGACCGGAGGGAGTATCAAAGATTAAAGAATTAATAGGGTACATAGTAAAATTACTCTTACCAATATTTTTTGAAAAAGGCTGTAAAAAATTTATCTTGACAACTAAATGAGAACAGGGGGAGTTTATCAATGATCTAGACTTCCCCTTTAGCGAGGCCCGCACAACGTGAACCAAAATTAGTCGGGCCAGTAGATTTAGTGAACACAAAAAAATTAAAGTACTAGTTGTTAAAAAGTTAATTTGATTGATAATTTGAATAGTATTATGAATATGAATTATTGTGGTTTTTCCTCATATTGTAAGGGATGCAGGCTATATTTCACTAAGCTTTCAATTGGGACACCTTCAAAGGACTATCATGTCCAGGTAGATACTGGAAGCGATCTTTTTTGGGTAAACTGTGCACGCTGTCTCAAATGTCCTACAAAAAGCAAACTCGGGGTATGATCCTAGAACAAAATGAGTAACGTAAATTTCTTGATGTATATTGAATAATTATTGAGTTATTTGTCACACTAACAGATAGATTTAGTGCAATATGACTTACAAGCCTCAACAACTGGGAAATTTATTACCTGCGAGCAAGATGTTTGCACTACTATGTTCGATGCAGCCAGTTCCGAATGCAAGGTCGGAAAGCCCTGTGAATATTTGGTTACTTATGGAGATGGCAGCTCAACTGGAGGATACTTTGTAAAAGATAACATCTATTTAGATCAAGTGTCTGGAGATTATAAAACATCTTCCTTACAGGGATCCGTTGCATTTGGGTATGTTTAATCCTTGTAACTTAAAAATCTATCTATGCTGATTTTTTGCCAAGTAATCTGATGCATGGACTTGACTTACTAATCTAGTTTCAACTTTGATTCGTTATTGTGTACATGAATTTGATGTTTATAAGCTTTTCTAAGTGTCGACTCGCCTTGTCAAATCAATCCTTCAAACCAAGTTGTATACTCCATTTCTCGATGTCTTTGAACTTGTTCATAGCATGATGATCTAGTCAGTTGTGGACTTCTCTGGAGCGTGGACTATATAAATAGGGGCACAACATTGGGTAAACAATGAATTGGGATGAGTCTGGCTCTAATATCATGATAAAAAAATGGACATTGAGCCTAACTCAACCCCAAAAGCTACCATATAAGGAGATATAGAAACCACACCCCCACCGATTTCGATGTGGGACACTAACAAGAACGTGGATAGTCGGTAGAAAGACAATGTGATTTGTGTATCATATGTATGATGATCCTTCTCCTCTTCTTAGTGTATATAGTGGCAATGCAGTGAATGCACCGATGGATGGGTTCGCAGTCTCTAAGTCTATACTTGTTCAAGATCGCTAGCAGTTCAATACATGGAAGATTGATAGTGCCTTTCTTCATTTCCCTATATCAAGCATAATAAAGTTGTGTTTCCAAATCACATTATTGTATGATTTTAAAATTTAGATGTAAAATAATGCTACTCTATTCTGTGATATTATAGTATGGATAGACAAGTAGTTCATCTTGTGATGATGTGTTTGTATTACTTGTTTTTTATCCAAGATAGGTGCTCGTCTCAGCAATCTGGAGACCTAGGTACATCTACTAATGCAGTTGATGGGATAATTGGTTTTGGAGAAGCAAATTCGTCCGTCATCTCGCAGTTAGCTGCAGCTGGAACGGTGAAAAAAATGTTTGCACATTGCCTGGACGGAGTTAAAGGAGGTGGTATATTTGCTATTGGACAAGTAGTTGAGCCAAAAGTAAATTCAGCCCCATTACTCCCGAATAGGTATGTACTTTTAGTTCCCACCCCCTCCTCAAAAATAAAGGGAAAAAAATGAACAAATAAGACATGCAGACAGAAAAATTGCCAATATATTGAATTACCTTGAATTTCTGCAAGAGGTCTCCACAGCTTGAATCCGTGACCTCTTGGCCACATGGCGGAAACTTTTGTTGTTGTGCCAAGGTTCCCCTTCAATTCTGTTTATATTTATTTGAAACCAAAAAGGAGAATTGTTCGTATGCTAGTTACACAAGCAGTAGCACATCTGGTTTTGACCCAAAACATACTAAGTGGAGACCATAAGATAAATGCTGATTTCCTTTGTTTATTGAACTGAAATGCTTCTCTTCCTCTTTAGGGCACATTATACTCTTTCTCTGAAGGATATTGAGGTTGGTAAAGAAGTTCTAGACATCCCGACTTCCCTCTTTGAGTCGAAATCCAGTAAAAAAGCAATAATTGACAGTGGAACAACTTTAGTATATCTTCCGAGCAAGGCCTATAATGCTCTCATGAACAAGGTAACTTCAGCAATCTATTAACGGCTACGTCTGTTATTTCTTGGATGGTGTATATAGCAACTATGCATGGTTACATGGTCCTTTAATTTCCCCTTACTGCTTGATTTTTCACTCTATGCTCCTATAGTTAATGTCAAAGCAACCACAATTGAAGACTCATCATCTTGACGGGGACTTTGACTGCTTTATCTACAGCGGAAAGTAAGGCTCTAACCTCTCACGTTAGTTTCAAAATTTTATTTTCATTGCTTACAACCTGATTTTGGTTTTCCTTTCTCGGTGCAGTGTCGACGACGGTTTCCCAGCTGTAACATTTCAGTTTGTGGGAAATCTTTCTTTGACAGCTTATCCCCATGATTATCTTTTTGAAGTTCGTGTAAGTAATCTAACTATGCTCAACTTCTTCAACACTCTCTTTAATTTGATTACATGTTGTTTTACTTATCCAGTAACCAGTTTGGGTTCATGCTTGGTCATTCTACTACGGAAGCTATCCATCTTAATAGGAGGTTGGTTGAACTGTACAGGAAGAAGGATTTGCACATAGTGTTTATTGACCTAGAAAAAACATATGACAATGTCCCTAAGGAAGTTCTGTGGAGATGCCCGGAGGTGAAAGGTGTTCTGGTAGCTTATATTAGGGTGATCAAGGACATGTATGATGGAGCTAAGACCCGTGTTAAGACTGTGGGGGGAGACTCAGAGCTTTTTCCGGTTGTTATGGGGTTACACCAAGGATCAGCACTCAGCCCGGTGGACGATGGACGCACTAACACACTATATCCAAGGGGAGGTACCATGGTGTGTTATTCGCTGATGACATACTTTAGATTGATGAGACGCGAGGCGGTGTTAACGAGAGGTTGGAGGTTTGGAGGCAGACCCTTGAGTCTAAAGGTTTTAAGTTGAGCAGGAGTAAGATAGAATACGTGGAGTGCAAGTTCAATGACATATTGGGAGAAACGGACATGGACGTGAGGTTTGCCTCTCAAGTCATCCCCAAGAAAGGGAGCTTCAAGTATCTGGGGTCGGTTATCCAAGGGGATGGGGAGATTGATGAGGAAGTCACACACCGTATAGAGGTGGGGTCGATGAAATGAAGGCTAGCGTCTGGTGTCTTGTGTGACAGGAATGTGCCTCCGAAACTTAAAGGTAAGTTCTACAGAGCGGTGGTTAGACCGGTCATGTTGTATGGTGCAGAGTCAAGAATGTGCGGATGTTTAGATGTGTGACAAGATGAAATGAAAATTAAAGAAATGAGGATGTTTAGATGAATGTGCGGGCACACTAGGCTAGATAGGATTAGAAATGAAGATATTCGGGTGAAGATGGGCGTGGCTTCAATGGAAAACAAGATGGGGGAAGCTAGGCTTAGATGGTTCGGGAACTTGCGGAGGAAAAACATGGATGCCCCGATAAGGAGGTGTGAACGGCTTGCCTTGACAGGTATGAGTAGAGGTAGAGGGTGACATAAGAAGTATTGAGGAGAGGTGATCAGGCAGGACATGATGCGGCTTCAGATTTCTGAGAATATGACCCTTGTTAGGAAACTGTGGAGATCGAGCATTAAGGTTGTAGGTTAGGAGGTAGGAGGCTAGTCTGATAGTGTTGTGTCTTAGGCTGGTGGTAGCTCCTATGTGTCCATATTACTTCATTAGGGTTGCAGGTTAGGTTGTAGGAGGCTAGTTTGATTGTGTTTTGTCTTAGGATGCTAGTAGTTCTTGTTGTGTCATTATTACTTCCATTATGTCTGTAGTGTTATGCCTTTGTTACTGTTTTTTTTTCCTGTTGTCTGGTTATCACGTTGTTGGTGTTATCTTTCTGACTTCCTTTGATGTTACAGCTTCACTGTCCTTTACCATCGTCGAGAGCCAAGGGTCTATGGGAAACAACCTCTCTACTCCTCCGGAGTAGGGGTAAGGTCTGCGTACACACTACCCTCCCCATACCCTACCTGTGGGATTTCACTGGGTCGTTGTTGTTGTTGTTTTACCCAAAAAAAAATTAATAATAATAATAACGGAAAAGGACCAAAAATACCTTTAACGTATTTAAATTGGTTGTGTGTGTGCTAACACGAAGATACAAGTCTATTATTTAAATGGTATATCAAGTTGTCTGATTTATGTAAGTGATACATTTACAGCCGTTGTTGGCAGTGTATGTCTTGTGCCGAGGGTCTATCAGAAAAGGTCTCTCTACCTTCACAAAGATAGGGGTAAGGTCTGCGTACATCCTATCTTTCCCCAAACCCCACTGTGGGATTCTCACTGGGTTTGTTGTTGTTGTTGGCAGTATATGTCTAATCCTATGATACATGTCTAATGCTGTTAGGCTGCAGGGGAAGCCAACGCGATACATGTCTTTTTTAGCTTAGATAACATTTGAATAAAAAACCTCTTTGTTGCGGAGATCGTCATCTCAGTTATCCTCTGGTTACATTTTGCAGGATAATGAATGGTGCATTGGTTGGCAGGAGGGAACGCAGGGAAAGGATGGAAATGAAATCTATCTGTTAGGAGGTATCACTTTACCCCTTCTCCTGCTTTGCTTGATGGCATATTCAAGTTTAACTTTTATAACATTTTGATGCAGATCTTCTGTTATCAAACAAGCTTGTTCTGTATGATCTTGAGAAACAGACCATTGGTTGGACTCAATATGACTGTGAGTATTGCTTCCCACTTACTTGAATGCATTTTCTTGCTTCACTTTCTTCGATAACCGAGGGTCTATCAGAATCAACCTCTCTACCTTCTCAAGGTAGGGGTAAGGTCTGCGTACACAGTACCCTCTACAGCCCCACTCACGAGATTACACTGGGTTTGTTGTTGTTGTTGATCTTGAATAAAATATTGTTTGTTTTTTTTTTTTTGGTTGATTTCAGGCTCGTCGAGCATTAAAGTGAAAGACGAAACTTCTGGAAATGTGTATACAGTGGGTGCTCACAAGATTTCATCAGCGTCTAGTTTGGATTCAAGAATGGCTTTTACGTTCTTCTTCTCAGTTATCTCTTTCTTCTGCTTTTTGTTGAAGTGAGAACATCAGAAAAACTGTACATTGGAGTAAACCATTACATACAACAATTGAAAGGTTCCACAACATGATTCTTTAATCCACTTCTTTTATAGTATTAAATTGTAAAAGAATCGGTTTTGATGAAAAACTGATATCAGCAGATTTTCTTCTCTACTTTTAAACATATAGGAACCATTCGCTATGCTAGTGTCAAATATTTCTTCTCATTCTTTTTCCAATTTTATGCCTCTTTTCTTTTGGATATGATACAAGATATAGTGAATTGACATATGTAAAACATGTTAGTAAATAAAACTCCTACTTTTTAGGTTCGTTCTAGTCCTTAGGAAGTAGTTTAACGTGGTTTTTGTTATCTAGTTTTTAGGAGAAAACTTTGTGGGGTAGTTCCTAACTTTTAGATTAAGTTTGCTATGTTTTTTTGTTATAAAAAGACTGCAGTTGCAGCATTGTAGTCAATCAGTCAAGCAATTTCTTCTTCACGTCTATTGCCTCTTTCTCTGCTCTATTTTTAACTTATAAATCTACATCCTTCTCTAATCAGTTTTCTATCAGTGGTATCAGAGCAAGGTTAGATCCAGAAAAAAGATAAACCCGTGAGAGAGAGAGAGTTTACCCAAAAACAAAAAAATCGTTTTTCATCTATGGCTTCAGAGAGCAATTTTGTGCAAGCAGCTATTCCCCGTTTTGATGGTCACTATGACCACTTGAGTATGCTGATGGAGAATTTCTTACGGTCAAAAGAGTATTGGCCAATTGTTGAAGACGGCATTAAAGCACCAGCAGTAGGCGAAATTTTGACGGATGCTCAAAAGACTGAGTTTGAAGCAAGAAAGTTGAAAGATTTAAAGGCAAAAAATTATCTCTTTCAGGCTATTGAGCGTCCCATCTTGGAAACCATTCTTTTCAAAGAAACTTCCAAGGATATATGGGATTCCATGAAGAAAAAGTATCAAGGCTCTACAAGAGTAAAGCGAGCATAGCTACAAGCCCTGAGGAGGGACTTCGAAACCTTGCAGATGAAGGAAGGAGAATCCGTCACCAACTACTGTGCTAGAACCATGGAGATATGCAACAAGATGCGATTCCATGGTGAGAACATGGGCGATGTCGTAATAGTGGAAAAGATATTGCGCTCTCTGACACCAAAGTATGATTATGTCGTTTGTTCCATTGAGGAGTCAAAAAACATAGATGTCTTATCACTTGACGAATTGCAGAGCTCCTTATTGGTGCATGAGCAGAAGATTAATCGTAGTTCAACTTCCGATGAGCAGGCTTTGAAGGCTTCTACTTTTATTTCTTCTTCCAATTCCAGAAGGGGTAGAGGTAGAGGTCGAGGCAGAGGAAGAGGAGATCGTGGAGGTAGAGATTCCTATAGGAATTTCAAAGCAAATAATGATCAATCTCAAGGCAAAGGCAGAGGTCGAGATTATGACAAATCCAAGATAGAGTGCTATAGATGTCATAAATTTGGTCATTACGCATCTGAATGTTATACTAGGCTTCCTAATGACAAAGAAAAGGAAGAGAAGTCCAATTACGCGGAGAACAAGGAAGGTGAGACCTTGTTGATGGCAATTCAAGTACAGAAGGAAACCGAGCGAGATGTTTGGTATTTAGACACAGGCTGCACTAATCACATGACTGGAAGTAAGTCTTGCTTTTCTTACTTAAATGAAGGCTTCCGTTCTAAAGTTAGTTTTGGTGATTGTTCTACTGTGGATGCAACGGAAAAAGGTGACATCAAGATCAAAACCAAGAATGGTTTTGTGGAAACAATCTCTAATGTGTTATATGTTCCTGATTTGAAAAGCAACTTACTGAGTGTTGGTCAGTTGCAAGAGAAAGGTTATGTCACCACTATTAAGAAGGGTGAGTGTGAAATTTATGACCCCGTGAGAGGTGCTATAGCAATAGTTCACATGAGTTCCAACAGATTATTTCCGATAAAGATGATAATATTCAATCTTGTTTGATAACGGAAGTGAAGGATCTCTCATGGTTGTGGCATTTTCGTTATGGTCATTTGAGTTTTGGAGGATTGAAGACACTTCAGGAGAAGAACATGGTCATAGGTCTTCCTCAAATTACTGCTCCTTCTCAAATTTGTGAAGAATGTGTTGTTGGCAAACAACACCGATCTCAATTCCCGAAAGGCAAATCATGGCGAGCAAAGCATGTTTTGGAGTTGGTTCACTCTGACATATGTGGGCCAATAAGACCAATCTCTAATGGAGACAAAAGGTATTTTATTACCTTCATTGACGATTATTCTAGAAAGACTTGGGTGTATCTGCGGAAAAAATCAGAGGCTTTTAATGTATTTAAAAGCTTCAAAGCTAATGTGGAGAATGAGACAGGAAAGACCATCAAGAGCTTCCGAACAGACCGTGGAGGCGAATATTGCTCTAAGGGATTTGAAGAATTTTGTGGGACTCATGGCATTCGAAAAGAGCTCATAACGGCGTATACACCACAACAAAATGGTGTATCGGAGAGGAAGAATAGAACCATTCTCAACATGGTTCGAAGCTTGCTAGCTCGAGGAAAAGTTCCAAAGACATTCTGGCCAGAAGCAGTAAATTAGAATATTCATATTTTGAATAGAAGTCCAACATTTGCTGTTCAAAACATGACTCCAGAGGAGGCTTGGAGTGGAAGGAAACCTGCTGTAGATCATTTTAAAATTTTTGGTTGCGTTGGCTATGCACATATCCCAGACGAGAAGAGGAAGAAGCTCGATGACAAAAGCGAGAAGTGTGCCTTTCTTGGTGTTAGCGAGGCATCCAAGACGTACAAGTTGTTCAATCCATTGACAAAGAAGGTTGTGACTAGCAGAGATGTTATTTTTGATGAAGAAAACTCTTGGGATTGGAATATGCAGCAGTCTATTCCAATCTTAATTGATAATGAAGTCGAAGAAGCAGCAACAATACCCGAAAATTCTGAAAATTCTAATCCAGCAGCTGCTGAAATTTCACCCTCAGCTTTGGAAGAAATTGATGCACCAGATGAGCCTCTTCGTCGTGCTCGCAAAAGGCCCGCGTGGATGATGGATTATGAGGTAACAGGAATTGATGTAAATGAAGATGAATTTTCCTACTTTGCATTGTTTGCAGATAGTGATCCTACAACTTTTGAAAATGCTATCAAAGAGAAGAAATGGAGGAAAGCTAATAACGAAATTGATGCCATTGAAAGAAATGACACCTGGGAGTTATCAGATCTTCCAAAAGGGCACAAAACTATTGGTGTGAAGTGGGTATTCAAGACAAAGCTGAAAGAAGATGGTGAAGTTGACAAGTATAAGTCACGGTTTATGGCTAAAGGATACACACAAAAATATGGAATTGACTACACAGAAGTATTTGCTCCGGGTGCAAGACACGATACAATCAGATTGGTGATTGCATTAGCGGCACAGAATTCTTGGCCTATTTTCCAATTAGATGTCAAATCGGCATTTTTGTATGGGCACTTGGAAGAACAAGTATTTGTAGAGCAACCTCCTGGTTATATAAAAATTGGAAATGAGCATAAGGTGTACAAGTTGAAAAAGGCTCTTTACGGACTAAAACAAGCTCCGCGAGCTTGGTATAGTCGTATTGAGGCTTACTTTCTAAAAGTTGGTTTTCTGAAATGTCCATATGAACACTCTCTTTTTGTTGAAACTGGAGAATCTGGAAAAATATTCATTGTGTGTTTATATGTCGATGATATTATATTTACTGGGAATGATAGTATCATGTTTGCCGATTTCAAGAAGTCTATGATGGATGAGTTTGAAATTGTCCGATCTTGGTAAGATGCATTACTTTCTTGGATTAGAAGTAGTACAATCTGATGATGGAATATTTGTTTCCCAAAAGAAGCATGTACGAGAAATTTTGGATGGGTTCAAGATGCAGAATTGCAATCCCGCCAACTCCAGTTGAGTTTGGCTTGAAGCTATGCAAAGTTGGAAGCAGAAAGAAGGTGGACAACACATTCTACAAGCAAATTGTAGGTAGTTTGATGTATCTTACTGCTACAAGGCCTGACATCATGTATGCTGTAAGTCTCATAAGCAGATACATGGAGAGCCCAACTGAAATTCACCTGCTAGCTGCTAAGAGAATCCGTCGCTACTTACAGGGAACTAAGGATTTTGTTTTGTTCTACAAGGGTGAAAAATCTGATTTGATTAGTTTTACTGACAGTGATTATGCAAGAGATCAAGACGACAGAAGGAGCACTTCAGGTTATGTTTTTATGTTAGGTACGGGGGCTGTTTCGTGGTCTTCTAAGAAGCAATCAATTGTCACTTTGTCAAGTACCGAAGCTGAATTTGTTGCTGCTACAACATGTGCTTGTCAAGCTGTTTGGTTAAGGAGAATTCTTGAATAACTGAAATTCAAACAAGAAAAAGCAACTACAATTTTCTGTGACAACAACTCTGCCATCAAGTTGTCAAAGAATCCGGTGCTACATGGAAGAAGCAAACACATTGACGTGAAGTACTATTTCTTGCGAGATCTCAACAATGAAGGAACAATAGAGCTAACATATTACCGGAGTGAAGACCAATTGGCGGATATTTTCACTAAACCTCTCAAGTTACTTTCTTTCCAAAATTTGAGAAGATTGCTGGGACTTTGCACCATGGAAGAACTCAAGAAATTGAAGATAAACTGAAGCTCGAAAGCTTTCCGTTTAAGGGAGGGTGTTAGTAAATAAAACTCCTACTTTTTAGGTTTGTCCTAGTCCTTAGGAAGTAGTTTAACATGGTTTTTGTTATCTAGTTTTTAGGAGAAAACTTTGTGGGGTAGTTCCTAACTTTTAGATTAAGTTTGCTATGTTTTTTTGTTATAAAAAGACTGCAGTTGCAGCATTGTAGTCAATCAGTCAAGCAATTTCTTCTTCACGTCTATTGCCCCTTTCTCTGCTCTATTTTTCACTTATAAATCTACATCCTTCTCTGATCAGTTTTCTATCAAAACATGCTTCATGTTTACTTTCGTTTTGTATTCATCATTTTGTTTCAGTGTGAAATCAAAGTGTACAACCTAAATAAAGTTTCTTCTTTTTTTTTTTTCTGGGAAAATTCCCAGCAAAACCCGCTGTGCTATCCTTCGGGTAATCTGCTCATTGTGCAATAGCTCGCAAACCACATAGGAAATATAAACCACACTAGGCAAGCCCGGTGCGACGAGCTCCCTAATAAAGTTCTAAATACCATTTGGTAGTTAAAAGAATCCAAACATCTAAGATCTGACCACATAACAAAAAAACTGAGATTATGAAAAGAAAAAGAGAAGATAGAAAGCCAAGAATGAAGAAGACTACAGCTAGGAATTATACAAAATTCCAATCTACCTAAGCTAGAGAAAAGGATGACTCCCAGACACACTAATATAGCCGGGCCAACCTCTCCGGTCCGAAAAAATATCTAATGTTTCTCCTTTTTTTACAGTAAAGAAATGAAGCCATAGAAAAAAGGCAAAAGAAAATGAAAAATCATTTAAACAAATAAATTCAGAGTTGCAAGGAGATTTCACCCTCTTTGCTTCCTCCAGCAGCTCTCTTTTCTTCATTGTCGGAACAAACGTTGGCAATGCACCTCGCGATCAGAGGCTTCTTCTTTTTCTTCTTCTGAAACTTCATCGCCTTCTCGAACAGTCCCAGAATGATCCGGTACAGTTGGACCAGAGAAATCATTCCTATTGTCTGTAACTTCACTCAGTTTCATCAAAGACAGTCTTGTCCATCGTCTTTAGTGCTGCAAGCAGTGGACGAGTCAATTGAGTTCGAGTCAAGGAATAGGCAGACAACAGCACAATCATCAACTTTAGAGGTTGGGTATTCAGTTCTCCAGGCTCGTACAGCTACTTCAACCAGTGATCGAGCTGCAAATGAACGTGGTGAAGCCGAAGCCACAATGTTTACCACTAGGTCATTTGAAAGCACATCCCAAATCTGTCATAGCCATTAAAATTAGTTTTTGACTAGGAGATAATATAATCACATTAAGTATTTAGCAACAAAAAACAAGAAACTCTTACCCCATCTGTTGCCAGAACAATGAACTGATCTTTCTCTGTTAAACACCTATATGAAATTTCAGGCACAGCAATGAGGCCAAAATCCTTGAGGCAAAAATCTCCAAATGCACGTGCCATAGCTAGTCCAGGTGAGTCACTGTTCGGCAACCACACTCTTGCAACCTCTGGTTCATTGCGAAGAGCAAATACACGCCCTTTACATTTGCGAATCCTCTCTGCCTCCGCTGTAAATTTACAAAGAAGTATTTAATAGGAAAATATATACTAGGATGAGCCATAAATAGCATTAGTCCAAGTCAACGATGCAAAAGTAGGACTCCCTTTCAAGAATACTATAAGGTAGGTGCTACAATGTTAACGAACATAAGCATTTATTTCCTGAAGAAAGCATCTATTGCTTTATCTCTAAATTCATCCACCTGTAAAATGACTGTTGCTAAGTATCTGAAGTCAAAATTAATTTCATTAAGCTTCAAATCATAAAAGTAGATACCCCTAATCCTTCCTTTCCTTTTCTTTCTTATGCTTTCCAAATCCAGGTAAGTGTATTGCATGCAATCTGGTTTAGATGATTATGTTTTCATAAACAATGTACAATTAATTGAAGTCCATAGATGGTAATGGTAAAGCGAAAGTATTTTGCACATTTCTTCTCAACATGTCAATATAAATCTGCAAACTTTCAAGGGGAAGAACTGTCTCTTGATACTTCAAATGCAAAGAAAATCTAAATATATGGATAAATTTTCCAAATTGACTCTTCATGAGATTCAAAAGATGGTGATTTAGTAAATGAGACCAGATAAAGAAACAGAACAAAGCCAACAAAATTTAACCATTGTCTGTCACGACCAGAAACTCTGATACCATTACAGATGAGATTAGAGTCTTTCTAAAATATTTCAGTCAACAAACTAGAAGGAATTTCAGTTTCTGACTAGTACACTTGTTTCGACGATTTACTCTTCTTTAGTGCTTCCTGGGTTTAAACCTAAAATGCTTATGAACAGCAATAAGGAAAAAAATAAAAATGAACAATGGACATCAAACTGACCGGTGAAAATCTGAAGTTGCATAACTTCATAAATGGGTAAAAAGTAAATTAAAGTGCAAAATCTGTTAATTTTCGATTTCACTAGTCGTCATTTAGCCCATCAGACTCGAGCCTCATATATCCCCATGAGTTAAGACATTTGCTAAGTCAACTTATCCTCAGACTCCATCAGGAAAATTGCCAATAAAGTATGTTTTATCCCTAAAAAAATATTTTCAGAAAAGAAAAACCTAGTGCTTAATGAAGCAACTTCCATTTGTCTCACTTTGAGAGGTTAATCGTATCAGTAATAAAATACAAACTTCAGACCCTTTGGCTAGGAGGTTAACCAAAGAGTAAATTTGGACTATACCAAAGGGCTGAAAGGTTGGTGTGGACCAAAAACCAATACTGTGGGAGATTTTCCAATTGATGGAAGTCGGTGAAACTGAAGTTGTGTACAGAATAAGGCCATAAAAAGGATGAAGGGGAAAGGAGAAGCTTGCGAGTCAAACAGATACATAACTGTTTGGGGGCTCTGATTTTTTGGCCAAACTAAATGGCATCGATCAAAATCAATGGCTATAGGCTACTTAATTGCATTACTGCAACCTCATAAATTAGCCGTAAGAGCTCACATAAGAATTAAGACTAGACAACCATAAGTTATAATAAAAGCTTAGGATAAGTCGTAAATTATGAGATTGTTTGACGCAAATATGAAATTCAGAAAGCAACATGCAAGCAGCAAGATGTCACTTTATTTTCTATACAAAAAAAAAAAAAAAAAAAAAAAAAAAAAAAAAAAAAAAAACATGAAGGGCTGCAAGATATAGGATTATATGCACCTGGTAGGTTAGGTTTCAGATCTACTGTCAATTGTACCGCCATCAAAGAATCATCTTTATCTCTCGTAGCCAGTACAGCTCTAGAATCCCCAATATTTCCAATTACAAGATCCTGACCCTGCAGGGAAAAAAAATTATATAGGTTTATATTTAGAATAACATAGCACAAGACTGTAGCAAGGTTCAACTTTCTGAATTTGTTGACAGACCTGCTTAACAAGGGTGACTGCAGTTGTTCCGCTACAGAAGCAGTTGATACGGCTATATCCTCGCAGTTCTCTATCCATAAACTTATAAGCCTTTAGAAATGAGTTCTTCAATGTCTGAGGGACCTCCGGTTGCTTTTCAGTCTTATCAACGTCAATTGAAACCCTTGACTCCTCATCAGCAGATATAAGGGAAGCATCCGCAGAGTATAGGGTATTTGCACTAGTCTCTCTCACAACATCATCATCATTTTTTATATTAACTTCCCAGAGTTCACTTAGCTTTAAAGGAAGAGAATCTCTGACTCTCTTTGCAACAAAATGACCATGAGGACCATGGCCATCGAAAACACCACAGAAAACTGTATCCGCTCTGGAACCAAAATTCTGAAATATATATTATACAAAAAATCAGGAAATGCTTTCCAACGGTTATAGTGAGAGTGTGAGACAGGATCGTGACTAGGGGAAACTACAAAATTATCTGAAAAAAGGAGGAATACATCCTAACTTAGTCCCAAAAACATAAACAAAATGAAAAAGAGCGTGAGAGGGAAACACATCATATAAGTACATCCTAACAATTACACAGACATAAACACGCAACAAAAACTAAACTAAACTATTTTTTTATATTTCCTACACATTTTCAGGATGCACCGTGGGGCTAAGGGAGTATCTAACATTCTGAAATTAAATACACACATAAACATAATCCTCTAAATACTACACAAGCTGAAGTAAAAACAACCATCTCTAGCAACCAATACTGTGATAGAAAGATAACAACCGGATAACTGTTTTGGTCCCCTAGAACTCGTTTTAACTACAGCCATGATGAGATGCATATGTTGTTGATTCATAAATATTTGCAAACTAAAAACCTTGTTTTTATAACCAAGAATTCCCTGAGGGCCAGTGGCACACGGTTCAAAACTCGGTGGATAATGGGCATCGCCGCTCTACCCTTTTTCACTTAAATACCAGGCTTTTGCCTGCAGGAAGGTTCGAACTAGTGACATGCGCCTAACCCGCACATCACAGGCTACGTTGTTACCTCCAGTGTTTTAAATGGCGTTTATGGGGCGAGCCCCAGGGTGGGGCGTAGTAAAAACGCACTTGGGTGATCCGAGGAGGCGAAAGTATTGCAAGGCGTAAGCCCCATTGTCTAGGCGTACACTTAGGTGTTGGGCGAGTTTTTGCTTTGGGGCGTAAGCCAAGAAAACCTTAAGAGTTAAAATTGCTAACTAAATCTTTAATTTAATACCAAAAAGTACAAAAAAATAGCTTATTATTACATTTTAAGAAGTTTAAAAAATTAAAAGTAAAAAGATTTTATATTCTTACCCTAATTTTTTATTCTTTCTCTTCATCTTCTACCAGGTAACGGGAAAATGATCAATTTGCAAACTATAAAGCAAAAACGCTTCATCCTTCATCACTTGCTTTGTTTGGACGCTTTTATTTGTAGATTATTACTTCCTTCACTTTTCTTTCTTTTCAAGTTCTTTTGCTCTTTCAAGTTAGTTTATAAATTTCTACTCAATTTTTTTCAAAGTCTCATTAGTTTCTTTTAGATGAAACAGTTCTAGTTAATTATTTTTGGTCAATTGCTGATTCTGACTAGCATTTTAAGATGAAACCATTCCATATAAATCTCACTTATTTTATATTTTCTTGAAATTTTTAGAATTTGTGTAATTTGACCTTCTTTTAATATGTATTTATATTATATTAATTTATAGAATATTAAAAAAGTAAAGATCCATGAGGCTAACGCCCAGAGCCTCGAGGCTTACGCGTCACCTCAAATCAGGTAAAATGGCTCGGCTCGCGCAAGCAGGGGCGAAACTAGCCTTGGAAGTACGGGTTCGGCCTATATTTGTCCTAAAAAATTTATTTTATATGTATAAATTATTAATTTAGAACCAGGGGATAGAGTTTCGAACCTATAAACTTCTAATTTAATATGTATAAATTATTAATTTAGCTCCACCTCTGCGTGAGGCTCGGAAAATTAAACACTTATTATCACTACTTTACAAAATTGGCGAGGTGAAGAAAATGACTAACCTCCCAAACAATCATGGCATCTTGATTAGGTCCTTTCTTTCCCTGCTGAGTGAAGAGTGAAGCCACCTCGCTCGACCCATTCAACAACATACGCCCAGGAATACCCTGCAGCTGTTCCTCCGTTGACCACTTTCTTGAGCTCTTTCTTTTAGTAGCAGACACTGAAGATCCGGGGACTGGGCTCCTGCTTTCAAATGAAAAGCAGGAGCCCATCCAAATCAAAATATTCAATAAGCACTCCACCACAGCAAAATTATCACAATCACTCCCCCCTATTTTTGGATCCCTAATATCTTTCTTTACAAACACTTCAATACCCAGTATCCAATTCTCCAGTCTATCCAATAAATTTCACCATTTTCAATGAACTTTTAACAATGAAATTAATACTGTAGTTAATGAAATGAATTATTCACGAGCTATAAGAATGGAGTAACGATAACAGAAACAATAAGGGTAAACAATAATACCCCACTAACTTTAACTCCACTTTTCTCCCAAAGAGGAATAAGTGTAAAGAGTAGATCAATAAACACTACCCTTTTTTCCAATATTTAAAGGAATAAAAGCCCAATTAATACCCAACTAGAGGTGAGCTTCAAAAGCACCAAAGGATCAAAAAATGGTAGAGTACGTGCAAGAGAAGATAAAGGGGAGGAATACAAAAAGAAGAAGAGAACAGATAAAAGAGGGAAAGTGAAAGAATAGAGATTTTCATTGTACACATTTCCTTTTATAACCATATCTTGTAGAGAGAGAAGAAACTCAAAGCTGGAGAAGGAAAGAAATATATAAATCGACCGTGCAAAGATATTTTACAACATTATTATTATTATTATTATTATTATTATTATTATTATTATTATTATTATTATTATTATTATTATTATTATTATTATTAAAGTTTATTGTCAAATAAAGTTTATTTTCAATCTCTTCAAGTACTGAATAATGTCCTACATAAATAATATATATAGTGTATATTTTATTGTGACTTTTACACCTGATGGATTATTATATGCAGCGGAAGCAATCCTAGTATCAAAATCACATGTAATTTAGACAA